GACACTCAGATATGGCTGCCAGTTAGGCCTGTGACAGGGGAGGTTCCAGCACCGAAACCATGACCCCTGTGAGCACCCCTGTCTGGGACAAAGCTGCCCCTGAGTTAGTGTCCTGATGCCAGACATTCCAGTTTCTCCTTGTATGTGTCTGGGTCCCCCAGAGCTGCCTGGCATTGGAGCTTGTCCCTACCAGTGGGAGATCAACGTGGGGGCGAGGAGGCACCTAGAAGGGAATGATAGAGGACAGGAGACGCGAAGAAATGGAGGCAAGACAAAGTTCTGATCAAGCCTCAAACTTTATTTTTTGAAATGGCAGTATATATACATCAGGAACAAAGGGGGGAAGGGTTGCCTACGCAGAGGGGTCTTTGGCAGTGTATAATTGGTTTAGGCACTGAGTGACAAGGTGGTAAGGTATCTGGCAACACAGGATTGGCTAACTGCCAGGGCGGCGTAACATTCAGAGGCTGGGCTAGCTATGGGGGAGGATCAGGAAGGGGAAGTTCCAGAGATGCTAAGCGGCAGGTTAATCTTTAGCTTCTGGCCAAACCCTCAGGGCACCGCATAACTTCTGCTAGAAGGAACTTAATTCTAAGATGGAGTTGTATTTTCTTAAGAGGGAGTTGCTTATCTCAACTCTGATGGCTCCTAACAGGAGCTCAGAGCTATCAAGGCCAAGTAATTTCAGGTGCTATCTATTAAGGGGAACTACTAGGTCTACAGCAGCCTGCATGTCACTCAGCCACAATTCATGCTGGTTTTTACAGCATGAAGTTATGGGGATTTCTCTTCCCTATAACTGGGGGGTCTGGTGAGGGGCTGGACCCCCTGCTTCTTATAGGAGGCCTTGGAGATATCCCTCCTGATTAAAAAAATGGCACATGTGGATGTCTGACCAGCCCACTCTGAGCCACCTCCCCTCCTACCAGTTTCAGTGTGCTTTCTTATTCTCTAATTGTAAGACTTTCATTCAGCCAGCTTTCAGGTGGTTCTGAATGATGGTTGTACTGTATTTTAGTTGTAATTTTGATGTGGTGGTGGGAGGCAGCAAATACCAGTGTTTACCTATACCACCATCTTTGTTCTCCTTTTTTAAAAGTTTGGCATAGTCCTAATGTTAATGCTTAAGATGTTGTGTTTTGTGTTTTTTTTTTAAAAAAAAACACATATATTTTATTGATTTTTTTACAGAGAGGAAGAGAGGGATAGAGAGTTAGAAACATTGATGAGAGAGAAACATCGACCAGCTGCCCCTTGCACACCCCCTACTGGGGGTGTGCCCACAACCAAGGTACATGCCCTTGACTGGAATTGAACCTGGGACCCTTGAGTCTGCAGGCCGATGCTCTATCCACTGAGCCAAACCTAAGCGGTTTTGGCAATGCTTAAGATGTTTAATAATAAGAAACTTGAGGCCTAGTGCATGAAATTCATGCACAAGGGATGTGTGTCCCTCAGCCCAGCCTGCATCCTCTCTAATCTGAGACCCCTTGAGGGATGTTGAGGGATGTCCTGGGATTGGGCGTAAATGGGCAGTCAGACATTCTTCTCACAATCCAGGACAAAACAATGACTTTCTAATTCAGTCATTCTTTCACATTTATTACTAGCTTTCTGTGAAAAAGAGTTTTTCTTTTTCCACCGCCTTCCCTTATCTCTTCCCTTCACTCAGGTATCACTCTGCGTTCATTAATTTTTACTTATTCAGTATGTATATTCAATTGGCCTTTCCTTTCTTCCTTCATAAGACTCACTTATGTAGGCAATGCCCTAATTTTACATAATCCCTTTAAAACTAGAGATTGTCCTTTTCATAAGAATTAGTTGTAAGAAAAAAATAGAAAATCTGCAAATGTTTACTAATTCAGAATCGTTGAGTAAATAAAGTGATTCCCTTTATCCTCCCAAATACAGAAATAACTTATAGGAGTCTAGAAATGTTTTTCTACAAGTTCCTATCTCCAGAAGTATTTCTGGTTTTCTAATATGGCACTTAGGATTTCTTTTTGCTGTAAAAACAACATGAAGGTAAGAAAAATAAATTGCAATTGTTGTGTACTATTGTTGGAGTCAATATTTAATTTATCTGACATCAAGCAATGGATGTTCAGTATAAACACATTTTCTATATATTGGCAGCTTACCACTTAAAGTGTCAAAATGTGTTTATTTTAGCCATTTTATTTGATGAAATTAATAAAAAGTTGTATGAAATAAAATACTATATATTAAGCATTTGGTAAAGACAACTTTTTACCAAATGCTTAATATATAGTATTTTATTTCACACAGTGTTCACACAGTTTACCAAATGCTTAATATATAGTATTTTATTTCACACAGTGTTTATTTCTTCTCTCCTAAATATGCAAATGCTTTTATACAGAAATAACCATACACTTAATGTGTATGGATATAACTGCAGCAAGCCAATGATGCTTTTCAAATCAAGGGCCTAATTAATTTTCTCAGATATTTTCATGATAGTATTTTTTTGTCCCATGGAACTCACCAGACTGTCAAAGAAGTCCACAGGACAAAAAAGCTTGTTGCTGCTTATTGCTTAGAGGAACAACTATATAGACTGTGGGTAAGAGTGTGTATGTAAATATACTTTATTTGACGTTACTTCCCATTGTAAACATTTCACTGTAGCCAAGTCAGTTTCCACACAATCTTATGACTATACCATGTCCCTTAACCTTTATTCATGCTGTTATTTGCCTTCTGTTCAGGGACCATGAGGAAGTTATTTATCTTTCTGTATTTTCTTAGTAGCTTGTTTCTGATGGTCTTAGTGAATGGTGTAATTGGAAATGTCTCCTTTGCATTAGAAGGACTGAGACAGATATGCAAGGAAGTCTGGGAAATGTAATTGCTAGTTTTCACCAAACTGGACAAGAATTAGAATGGATGAACTTTTTGTCACTGGTCCTACCTTATGTCTCTGCTCTTTTTTATTATTATTTTTCTATTCACCAGATTTCCTAAATTGGATTTTTTTTTTAACCTCTTTAAACCACAGATATCTTTGTAAACAATTAGTCTTATTCATAATGTGAGGGAACTTTGACTAGGTGATCTTTGAGTTTCCTTTCAGCTATAAGCTTGTGTTTATATCCACTTATTTATTCCTTCATTAAAAATATTTATTGAATGCCTGCTATTTGATAGGTATGTTCAGCAATATAAAATTATTCATTCTCTAATAATAGAATATCACATGTTTATCCAAGATATGTACTACTTCATTTGTAATGCCATACCTGACACTGTAGCCTATGTTATATTGTCCACAAATTCTTTCAGCACTTATTTAAAAATGTAGACACAAGTTAACTGGTATTTTGCTTAGTGTTTTGCTTAATTTAATTGCAGTCACCTTGAAGAGTGATACTTTCATAATCATTTAATATAGTGACAGCCACATAGTAATAATAAATATAACTATACTAACATTTATAAACACAAACTTTGAGACATAATTTTAAATGGTTTATTTTACATGTATCCATTTCTTCGTTACCAAGTGTTTATGAGATGGGACCTCTTTTCATCCCCATTTTTTACAGATAAGGTAAAGCTCACAAAGGTTAAGTAAATTTCCTCAACGTTATACTACTGGTACATAAAGCAGTCACCATTTCAGAAACCCATGCACTTATCCATTTTGCTTTAATGTATAATTACTATATACTTGTTGAATGAATGGAATGTTTTTTAATTTATTCTGGTTGCAGCTTGGATATTTATTTGTACTTTGGATTAAAGTCTAAGGATAGGTCATTTTGGGGAAGAATACTTTTTAAACAAGGACAAATAACTTTCTTTGCAAACTAAGTATTGGGTGACTCACAATAGAAAATATTCAAATTGTGTACTTGGGGATTTTGAATATTGTATCTGTTTTTGAAAGAAAGTTTATGACACGCCGAAACCGGTTTGGCTCAGTGGATAGAGCGTCGGCCTGCGGACTGAAGGGTCCCAGGTTTGATTCCGGTCAAGGGCATGTACCTTGGTTGCTGGCACATCCCCAGTAAGGGGTGTGCAAGAGGCGACTGATCAATGACTCTCTCTCTCTCATCGATGTTTCTTTCTGACTCTCTGTCACTCTCTCTTCCTCTCTGTAAAAAATCAATAAAATATATATTTAAAAAAAAAGTTTGTGACATGTATAATACTTATATAGGGTGAAGCAAAAGTAGGTTTACAGTTTTTAGTATGGAAAAAGACATTTAGGTTATGATTATTACAGTCACTTTATTAACTGTATTTTGTGTACTCAGAACTATAAACCTACTTTTACCCTACCCTTTAGATGTGCTGCAGTCTTTTTCACAGCTAGTGTTCAGGAATCTAGAGAAGGGGCTGCGATGTAAATTAATAAAGAGACTAGACAAGGACTGTAAATTTGGGAGGCATGGGGAAACCAGGGGGAGCTCCACTTTCTAGTGAAGTGGGCTCTCCAAATCTCCAATCTCCAGACCCATGACTTTTTATTAACACATTTTCCCTTTAGCAAAGCAGATATACACATCAGAGGTAGGGTTCAGTAAACAGGAAAAGATGATCAGGTTAGGGGAAATGCCTACAGCTATTCAGATAATATGCAGATTACCAGCCCTGCTAAAGCCCCAAGGTCCATCAGCTGTCTGATGAATTTTTAAAAAAATATATTTTATTGATTTTTTACAAAGAGGAAGGGAGAGAGATACAGAGTCAGAAATGTTGCTGAGAGAGAAACATGGACCAGCTGCCTCCTGCACTCCCCCCACCGGGGTTGTGCCCGCAACCAATGTACATGCCCTTGACCGGAATCGAACCTGGGACCCTTCAGTCCGCAGACCGACTCTCTACCACTAAGCCAAACCGGTTTCGGCCTGATGAACTTCTTAAGTAATTATGAACTGTTGAAATTTGCTTCCAGCAAGATGAATTTTGATTTAAGTGTCTTGATTATTATTTCTTATTCATTTTCAGCTGAGTGGTGATTTTATGCAATGGCTTCAAGCCACAGTTCTTCACCAGTGCCTCAAGGAAGCAGCAGTGATGTTTTCATTAAAAAAGAGGTAGATCCGACAAAACACATTCGACCTGTGCAGTCACTGCCAGATGTGTGTCCCAAGGAACCCACAGGTAATGCTTTTTTGTTGTTGTTGTTGTTGAGGATTTATATTAACTGTAAAGGAGTAGACGGATTTTGTATAGTTATCTAAAAGAGTAAATTTTATGATATTAAAACTAAAGAGATATAAATAATTTGGATATAAGTAGATTAGGAGATTAGAATATAGTTCTTTTCATCTATTTCCATAAAAGAAGTATTTAGATAAACTATTAAGATATTTTGAAATGTATAATTCGAAAAGTTCTTTAGTTAAAACATATTACAGTCAATCCTCATTATTTGTAGTTTCCATATTTGCAAATTTGCTACACCTTAAAAATTATTTGTAACCCCTAATTCTATATTTGTGCCACTTTTGTGGTCATTTGCAAACATGCAGAGAGGAGTGAAAAATTTAAATTACCCAATGTATATGTTCTACCTGAAGTTGAACAAGGCAACACTCTGCCTTATTGTTTCAGCTATCATGGTATAAACAAGTGTTCTTTTTGTGGTCTATTTGGTGCTACCTTTTTTCGCGTTTTTGTGTATCTTGTTGGTGATTTTGTTTTTTAAAATATTCTCAAACATAGTGCTGAAGTGTTTTCTAGTATTCCTAAGTATGAGAAAGCTGTAATGTGCCTTATGAGGAAAATATGCATGTCATACAAGCTTCATTCAGGTATAAGTTAAAGTTCCATGTAAATGAACAGATAATATATGTTATATATTAAATATGTAGTAAGTATATATAACTGTATATTAAATATATAGCAAACAATGTGTTTTTAAATAGACACATGCATGTGATTCTGTATTGATCAATTGATGAAAATGTTCTGACCATAAAAACTTGCAGGAATCTAACCTGTATTTTCACTAGGGTCAGTGTTTCAGTATTTGCTAATTAAGTGTTTAGTGTAACTTTCTAGAATAGTACTAGTGTGAATAACAGAAATCAACTATATTTTCCTTTCCTCTATGATTAATGCCACAGCAGTATTTATCTAATTACTAGAGACCTGGTGGACAAAATTCGTGCATGGGGGGGGGGGCGTAATTCCTCAGCCCATCCTGCATCCTCTCCAATCTGGGACCCTTTGAGGGATGTCCAACTGCTCTCCTACAATCCAGGACTGCTGGGTCCCAACTGCTCATCTGCCTGCCTTTCTGCTTGCCAGCCTGATCACCCCCTACCAGCCTGATTGATGCCTAATAGCTCCGCTGCCAGCTTGTTTGCCCCTAACTACCCTCCACTGCAGGCCTAGACACCCCTAACTTCTCTTCCCTACAGGTCTGGGTTCCTTTCAATTGCCCTTTTTCTGTTGGCCTGGACACCCCCACTTGCCTCCTTTGCCAGCTTGGTCACCCCTAACTGCCCTCCTCTGCAGACTTGTTTGCCCACAACTGCCCTCCCCTGCTGGCCTTCTTGTGGAGGTCATCTTGTGTCCAATGGAGGCAGCCATCTTGTGTGTTGGAGTGATGGTCAATCTGCGTATTACTCTTTTATTAGATAGGATAGAAACCTTGTGCATGGGTGGGGGCCAGCTGGTTTGCCTGAAGGGCGTCCAGAATCAGGGTGGGGGTTCCCTTGGGGCATGTGGTGGCCTGGGCGAGGTGCCTGTTGTGGTCTGCAGGCTGGCCACACCTTCTGGCGACCCAAGCAGAGGCCCTGGTATTTGGAATTTATTTACTTTCTACAATTGAAACTTTGTTGCCTGGAGTGGAGCCAAGCTTCTGATCCCTCCATGGCCAGCAGCCATTTCTGTTGGAATTTATGTATCTTTTATAATTAAAACTTTGTAGCCTGAAGTTGAGGCCTGGGCCAGCCAGGATGTGTGGAAAGCTTTGCTTCCTCCATTGCCAAGGGCAACTCTGGCCTCTTGCTCTTTCCAGCTTCGTGGCCGCCACCATTTCTGTTTTGATTTGTTTACCTTCTATAATTGAAACTTTGTAACCTTGAGTGGAGGCCTAGGCTGGCAGGGCTTCCTTCATTGCCTGGGAAACCCATGCCTCCCTCCTGTTCTCTGGGGCTGTAGCCATCTTGGTTGGGTTTATTTGCATACTTGCTGTGATTGGCTGGTGGGTGGCTGGTGGGCGTGGCTGGTGGGTGTAGTGGAGTGATGGTTAACTTGCATATTACTCTTTTATTAGATAGGATAAGAAAAAAAAATGGAACTAGTACTGTCTGCCATAGTACAATAATAAAAAAAAAAAGAGCTCTACTTATGGAAAAAAAATGGAATATTAAAGGATAGAAGATATTCAATTGAAGGTGGAAAAGTTTCTATGTTGAAAAAGATAAATTGTACAGCAAGGAAAGGAATTAATGAAAGATTTTCTTTACCATTTACCCTACTCTGTGACTACAGCTCTCAAATTTTGCATGTTTGATCTTTATAAGTTTTTTTTCCTTCAGCAATTGATACTGAAAGCTCAAGTTTATTTAATCTGATTGATTTTTATTAAAACATTTGCCATAGAAGAGAGTGTAGTTGCTTTGTATAATGTGGAATCTAAGCATTTTTATTTTTCTAGGGTATACCTTCAAACATAGAACTTATTTTATAGAGTTCTCTTGTTTATTTTTTTGCAGGTGATTCACACAGTTTATGTGTTGCCCCATCTCTAGTTACAGATCAACACAAATGGACTATATATCATTCCAAAGTAAATCTCCCAGCAGCATTAAATGATCCTAGATTAGCAAAAAGAGAATCTGACTTCTTCACAAAAACATGGGGATTGGACTTTGTGGACACTGAAGTCATACCTTCATTCTACCTCCCACAGATCAGCAAGGAACATTTTACAGTATATCAACAGGAAATCTCTCAGGTAACATCTAATCTTGAAGTTAGTTATAGTCAGGTGAAAAGTAATTTATAATGGATTTTTACCAGTAGTCTTTGAGGAATCTGTTTATTTTTTGTTCATATACATTCTGTACTGGGTTGTATTTAATTCTTTGCTTAGATTTATGTAAATATATTTTTCTTACTCTGGTGATTTTTCAGAATGAAATAATCCTGTTAATGCTAAGATTCAGCATGAAACCTCCCCTACTTACCAAGGAAAAATGGTTTTATTAGACCTGTAAAGCCCAGACTATTTGAGATTTAAGAAATGGACTATTAGGGATTCTCATTCATTGTGGATAGGGATGCAGAATGCACAGCCTCTTTGGCAGACAGTCCCATACTGTCAGAACTACTATCAGAGTTCTGAACACTCTTGGCCCAGTGTTTTTTTCTTACCACACTCCACTTTCCCATGTATCCTATTTATGGTACTTCTGAAAAGATAACAGTGTTGTTAGTGGTTATCTAATCTGAAATTAGAATGGAATTATTTTTCTTTACTCAGAGAGAAGGTGTCAATAATTATCTATTTTAGGTATATCAGTTTTCAAATTTTCTTCCTTGCTTTTAAAAATTATTTTCTTAATTGATTTCTGTCATATAAGTAAGGATTTTTCTTTGCTTTCCCACTTATTCCAAATTTATGGAGATTTTATGTGAAATGGGATGAATATAAGTAAATAGGTATTCATACATCTCAGTGATGTTTAGTTTATTAAGCATACTTACTATATGTATTTAAGTTCAAATGCTAGTGATTTAAAAATCATAGAACTAATTTTATATCTTCTGTTGTGATTTTAATGCTTTGAATATTTGTATTGCCATACAGCATCGATTACATTATTTATTTAATTTTCCTTTTATTAGAGAGAGAAGATTCACGAAAGATGCAAGAACATTTGTCCTCCTAAAGATACCTTTGACAGGACTCTCTTACATAGTCATGGTATGAATATATGCTATTTGTAGATAATATTATACATAGATGAATATGTGAAATTTGTAGAAGAGAATAATATTAATGAACAAAATCTTAATTTGGGGACCTTGTTGGCTGTCATAATTTTTCTTTCCAGTAAAATTTTTATAGCTTACTGTTAAAATCTTTTCTAAAAGCTTTTAAGTGAAAATTCTTGGGTCTGATGATAGTGTTGTCTTCAATTCAACAAATACTTATGTAATATCTATGTGCTTGATACTTTGCTTGTTGCTTAAAAAATAGGTGAATTAGAAATGGTCCCTGTCATTAAGAAGCTGGTGGTTTCCTGGGTAAAGTTAAATAAATAAACCAAAAAATTGCAGCACTGTATATCAAGTAAAAAGTTCACCATGGCAAGATAATATATAGCTTCAAATTTAGCTTAGAAAATTTCCTAGAGTTGATGATGATTGCCTGCGTTTTAGACTAGCTATTAAGAAATATTTATGTGTAAAAGGCATTCCAGGAAAAAGGAATAGTTTGGATAAAGCCATAGAGTCAAGAAATAAATTAGCATGTCCAAGGGACTGCAATAATTCAGTATGTTGGCTCTACTGGGAGCAAGAAAAGAAGCTGAAAAAATAGGTGGGAGTCAGATCTAGAGCCTGTGTGCCATGCTAAGAATATTTCTTAAAGCAGTATAGAGCTACAAAATCTTTTAACCAGATAAAATCAGATTTATGGTTATACATTTCACTGTGTAAACAGTTGTGGATAATAAGTTTTGGATGAGTACTGGAGTCAAGGAGACAGTTGGAACTATTGCAATAATACAAGTGAGAAATCATGTGGCCCCAATTCACAGTTACAATGAAATGAAGAGGATATTAGGCCTTTGAGCGATTGAGGCATAGTAGGTTTTGGTGGTCAATTAGTTATTGGTAATAGAACAAGTTGATTCAAGGATGACTCCCCAGTTTCTTGGTTGGGCAGCTGGCTAGGTGAGGTGCAATTCAGTGATATAGCCAATATAAGAGGAGAAATTCTGGAGGCTGGTTTAGTTGCAGTTTTGCAAACATGTTTGGTAAGTAATTGGGAGCTCAAGAAAGAGATCTGGAGATGTAGGTATAGTAGACATTATCATAGACAGTATGCTAAACAATATCATGGTAGTTGAATCCAAGGGCATGGATGGGATAACCCAGGAAGGATGTGAATAGTGGGAAGAAAATAACTGATAATAGAACACTAGGAAGCTGTCACATTTAAGGGGCAGATAGAAAATTAGGCACTTGTGAAAGAGACTATACAGAAGTAGATAAGAGAGTCAACCAAGAGAGAGTTCCACGTTTGATAATTTCAAAGAAGTGAGAATAATTAGTCTATATTGTCACAGAATTTCAGTTTGCATACTGAGAAGTCTTCATGGATTAAGCAATTTAGGAGATCTTAGGGAGAGCATTTAAACTGGAGCTGTGGTTACAGAAACCTCAACACTATATATTAAAGTGTGAGTACAAGAGAAAGAAATGGAGAGTGTGTATTTAACTTGAAGATTTGAGATATAGGATATTGACTATAGAGAGAATAGAGTAGAAGAATGTTTTTGCTTGGCCAGGACTAGATGAGGCAAGAGAGGCATTTGCATAACCCTGAAAGTGAGTGATTTTTAAAATTTTGCACCCAAGGTTTCCTTGCCTCAATCTAGTCCAGGCCCTATGTTTTTATCTTTTTCTCTCCTCTCCCTTCCTCGTATTTTTCCTTCCCTTCTCCTCCCCCCCCCCTCTCTTTTTTTAAGTGAAACATGTTTATATGCAGAGAGGAAAATGCTTTTAGGAGGAGAAAGAGGTTGAAGATACGGAGAGAGGCAGGGTAATTGAAGTAAGGTCACAGAAGAGGCATGAGGGAATGGGTTACTTTTGGAAAGAGGGTATCTTACCTGAGGTCTTACTGGTGAGATGAAGGTAAAGTAGGTTCAATTACAGGTAATTTTTATTTCATTTTATCAATTTTTAGAGAGAGCAGAAAGGAGAGAGAGAGAGAGAGAGAAACATTCATGAGAGAGACATATCAATTGGCTGCCTCCTACATGCCTCCCACTGGGAATCAAGCCTGCCACCTGCAATACGGGCATGTGCTCTAACTGGGAATCCAACCAGGGACCTCTTGGTTCATAGGTCACCGCTCAACTACTGAGTCACACCAGATGGGCACAGATAAATTTGTATATGATACAAACTAAAATTTATAAGAAGAAAATTAATATATTTAAAAATATCTTTGATCAGAAGAAATTCTGGAAGGGATGGTGGATATTTTGAAGAATTAAAAAACAGTATTCCTATTTTAGAATTCAATTCATTCTTAAAACTACATAGCATGCCCAAACCATGGTAAGATTAACTTTCTGTGTAGCTAATCATTGCAAACTAATTCATTATAGACTAATCATTCTTACTTAAAATTTATTAAGTCGTTTTATTGCTAGTAAACAATTGATTACAATTATTTGCACAGATGCCATATTGAGTGCTTTGTATACTATTAAGGATGCAGGAGGTGCTTTATAGATACTTGTTGAACAAAGAAACTTATGTGGTTATTTGGCTGTGATCTAGTATAGTATTGAATCTTGTCAAAGTATATTTTATGGAAGTAAAATGAAAACAAGTTAAAAAAATCAAGTTCTCCTTTCCCCCTTTTTTAAATAGATAAATCCAGGACAGATCTGGAGCAAGTACCTAAGGTAACAAAGCTTAAAAAATGAGAATACTGCTTTTTAATATTTGATCTTTAATTTTGCCTTTAAGAAGCCTTCATTTAGCTGTTTTCTGACACTTCACTTTGCCTCTTCTGTAACTTTGTTACATTACTTTCTTCTCTCTTTTTCATCATCATTCCCTTCATCATCAAAACTTACAAATATGTTTAAGTCTCTCCATTCTCAAAGAAGAATTTTGTTGTTGATCTTACTCTCCCTCCAAATCATTAAAATATATTTCCTTTAGAAGAAAACAATTGTGGAAATGTGTAATAGATGAGGGTTTTGTTTTGTTTTGTTTTGTTTTGTTTTGTTTTGTTTTCCTGGGAAAAGAATCCATTGCATTCATCAGATTCTCAAAGGAGTCTGTGGTAATTGCTCTTTAGGGTGAGAAGAGATAAACAGATACATAAAGGAGAGGGCAGTCATTTTTAAAATTTTTTGATTCCTATAAAATAAAATTCAAACCCTGTACTTTAAGGTCCTTAATTATTCATTTCCATTCGTAGTTACACTCTTAACTTTTGCCTCCTAATCTTTACACATCTTTTACTTCAGTCAGACTCTTTTGTTGACTCCATTCTTAAACTGCTCCTGAACCGAAACCGAGACTTTCCATCATTTCCCTATATTTAATTCTTTACATTCTTTTGCTTAACTGGCAACTTTACATGAATACATTTCTCCCCAGTTGAAGATAATGTGCCCCTTTGCTGAATTTGCATAGCATTTTATCTAGATCCCAGCCTTCCCTTTCAAGGTATTTGTTATTCTTCCTCTTATAAGATACTTATGTATATATTTTATCATATGCCTTGGTCTAAAGATCGTTGAGATTAGTATCTCTGTAATAATTTATTTTTGTTTTCTCTTAGTACCTAGTATAAGAGTTAGACAACCAGTAAATACTTATTGAATGAATCAATGCTTTCAATAATACTAAAGCAGTGACTAGAAAATATACTCATGTCCCTAGATTTTCCCTATCACATTCATAACGATTTTTGCATAAAGATAAAACGAATCAGTAAATAGAATAAAATAGAGAAATTAATGAAGTAATTAACTGATTAAAGCATGTTTTTTGCCCTATAGAGATACAAAGAATAATAATTGTGAATTCAATCTTAGAGGAACATATTCCAGGAGGATATGTTTATATATTTTAATATATATATGTATATATATATATTTTATATATAGGATATGTTTATATATATGTGTGTGTGTTTATATATATATAAAATAATTTTTGTTGAATTAGAGATAAATAAGTGTACATGGTATATTTGTGTTCAGAGATGGGGTGATTAATCTCTGTGTCATTCACAGGGACATGTTTGCCCCTTTGATTGGATTGAATTCTCTAGGAAGATAGGCAAGAGCATTCTAGGCCAAAAATACATGTATACTTAAGCATAAGAGGATATGGAAGATAGTTGAATACTGCCCAAATTTAACTTGTAAATAGTGGCAAGGTAAAAAGAGGTAAGTGGGTCCAAAAGTTGAAGGACTCAATGTCATTCTAAAAAGCTTGGTCTATGGGTCATGGAACTCTATTAAGAGATTTAAACAGAGAAGTTAATTCAGTTATACTTGCATTTTAAAGGGATATCTAACAGCAGTATAGTGGATAAATCATCGAAGGACATCATTAAGTGTTCATTTACTGTAATCCAGAGATAATGAAGAGCTGCATTGGTGAAATGCTGTGGAGATAGAGGAATGTAAGGATTCAAGCAATATTTAGGAAATATAATGAATACTACTTAGTACTCAGATGGATGTGATATATGAGAAAAGGAGTTGGCTTTTCATAAAATTGAATTGGTTATGATTTTAAATTTTAGTGTATGTCTAATCTAAAAAACAATTTTGAAAGAAATTTTAGGAGAAAGTAGAAATATAAGTATAGAGAAATTGATATCTGGCATTTAAAACACACATACACTACCTCCCTTTGGCATGCACCCAGTGGGAGTACATTAGTGCATTTGATCAAATTGTAATAGAATGACCATCTCCATTTGCCGGGGCTGACCAACAGCTCCTGAATGATGGTTGAACAGATTACTCAGACACAGTTTGACAGTGAAAGAGAGGGATAAGGGGCCCCTGGTTTTAGTGGCCAGGGCAGCTTCTATTGCCTGCCTTGTTGGGTCTTTATTGGAATTTTTATTTTTAGATGCAATCAGTAGGATGAGTAATCTCTAAGCAAAGGCATCCAGGGATTAAGCATAAGAATTCCAGTAAATACCCCAGGGGTCTGCATATGTACAGACTTGCTTGGAAAGGTCAAGGAATATTTAGGGGCGCCATCTTTGACACTTCCCTAAATCTCCCCTAAGTTGAATTCCGATAAACAGGGCAGGCGGCCTTCTACACATCCATTGGTTAAGGCAAAAAAATTTTTTTTCTATTTTTCATGAGCATGTTTATCTAGGTGAGATTTTACTTGTACATTTTTCTATAGATTTTATGTAAATAACATGTTATCACTTGCTTTTGCTGCTTATGCTTGAGATCCAAATTAATTATTTAATGCTCTATGATTTTAGAAGAGATAATGAATGTAAATAAAATGTTTTTCTAATCAAGAGAAATGAATTTTTTTAATAGATTTTTATGAAACCAGATTTTGCCTTGGACGATTCTTTAACTTTTAATTCAGTTTTACCATGGTCTCATTTTAATACTGCTGGTGGAAAAGGAAGTCGTGATGCAGCTTCCTCAAAGTTGCTACAAGAAAAGGTATTTTCTTTTTTACTTTTCCTCATAGAAAATTTTATTCTAGTTAAGTGGTGCAACTTGGCATGGGTTCAGATTTAGTTACTTAGTAAGCATTCTTTTTTTAAATTTCATTTTGTTGTTGTTAATAATTATAAGCCTTTGAATATTTACTGGAAAAGTAATAGTATTTTGATTCAATGGGATCTAAGTTGTTCTGGTGGGGGGGAAAAAGCTTATTGTTTGAGTGCTTATTATTTGAAACAGCAGTTGATAAAATTTCAGTTGAAAGGATATATAGATAACATACGTGATTATAATTGCTTTACACGTATCCTGAGCAACATAGTATTGCCAATTTTATATTCTGTATGATTTAAAACACAAAAAACCAGCTTTTCCTGAGGTACTATTTGTCCTCATTTACGCATTGGGGTTATTAAATATGTTTTTATTGATTTCAGAGAGAGAGGAAGGGAGAGAGAGAGAGAGATAGAAACATCGATGAGAGAGAAACATCAATCGGCTGCCAACTTTACACCTCTTACTGGGGATGGAGCCGCAATCCTGGCATGTGCCCAGACCAGAAATCAAACCTGTGACCTCTTGGTTCATGTTCTACACTCATCCGCTGAGCCACCTTCCGGGGTTTAAGGATTATTATTTTAAAGCAAAACCATGATATTAATATTTCTAAATGTTTTTAGCTTTACAAAGCCTAGTCTTTTGCATATTATTACTCAGCAGTTTTTAATTTTTTTATAGTATTCTATATTTCAGAAGCCAACATCTTGAACATCATTTTAAATGTAGAACTTTAAAAATATCTTAACTCACATATTAAAAATGTAAAGACCTTTGATATCTGTGTTGTTTGTTTTTACACTCAGTTTAGAGCTTTCCTAAAACTGTGGTTCTAAACTGAAAAGAAAGCATTTTGTTATAGCCTAGTGACATCTCTTGGCAGTATGAAAGCTTCCCCAGGAAGGTGATTCAATAAATTAGGTTCAGTGCCCAGTAGCTGAAGAAAGGACTAACTTGTGGAGGATAAGAGAAAAATGTAGGAAAAGAATCATGACTATTCTTTTTCTTACTGTTTTATTGGGATTATCATTTTATGATTGACATTAGCTGTTTTATCTTGCTATCTTTAAAGAGAGGGTATGCTACAACCAGGGTCAAAGAAGTTTGCTGGCCTGCAGTGAGATAAGGCGTTTGCAGTAGAAATTATTGCAAACTGCTTCCTTCATTAAGCAAGTTTTTTATTTTGGTTTTTTTGTTTTTAAATAATGCAGTGGGCTTAGTGATATAGTTGATTTACTTTCTAGTGAAGTTCATTGTTTTGTCATGGACTTGCTAAATAGTTCACAGATTGGCAGCAGCATACAAACTGCCTTTTGCATAAAGGAGTTGCCCATGCTCCATTTACTGTTCTAAAAATTGAGTCCATTTTAGCTTGCAATGTACCTTAGTACCTTTGTCTCCAATATTGCTTTTTAGGTAAATAAGTGAAACAACTGTATTGAAGATGAAAAGAACAATAGTAGAAGGGTATAAATGCAAGAAACTTCAACTGTGGGAAAATTTATTATTTGTAACCTATTTTATCTATACTAGGTGTACCGGTTAATAATGCGGATTTTTTCAATAGATGCACTTACACATATGTTTGATATGTATGCTAGTTTGTTGTATTGACAGCAGACTTCAAAACTTCATATGTCAAATTTGTTTTAGGTGTTAACATCACAGATATTTTTACACTTAAAAATGTCAAATTTTGTGCCCAAAAAAAGCATTTGCAGGAAGTTTTAATTCATTACTTTATTTTGAAGAAAAGTGCTGCTGAATACTTTGAGAAGCTTATGGTGAACATGCTCCATCTCAAGATACTTGTGAACGCTGCTTTAAATGCTTTAAAAGTGATGATTTTGATATGAAAGACAAAGAATGTCCAGGTCAACCAAAAAAGTTTGAGGACCACCAATTACAAGCATTATTGGATGAAGATGAGTGTCAAACTCAAAAACAACTTTCAGAAAGATTAAATGTTGCTCAGCAAACAATTTCTGATCATTTACAAGCAATGGGAAAGATTTTAAAGGAAGGAAAATGGGTGCCACATCAATTGAACGAAAGACAAATGAGAAGCCAAAAAGTCATCAGTAAAATGTTGCTTCAGTGGCATGAGAGAGAGCCTTTTTTGCATCGAATTGTGACTGGTGATGAAAAGTGGATTTATTTTGAGAATCCCAAACACACAAAATCATGGGTTGATCCGGGTCAACCATCAACATTGACTGCAAGGCCAAATTGTTTTGGAAAGAAGACAATGCTCTGTGTTCGGTGGGATCAGGAAGGTGTGGTATTATGAGCTTCTAAAACCAGATGAAAATATTAATACTGATCGCTACCGACAACAAATAATCAATTTGAACCACACTTGGATTGTATGTGCCAGAAGACATGGCAAAGTAATTTTGCTTCATGATAATGCCCCATCACACACTTTAAAACCAGTTAAAGTCATGTTAAAAGATCTTGCCTGGGAAGTATTAACCCACCTGGTGTATTCACCAGAATTGCTCCTTCAGATTACCACTTATTTCAATTGATGGCACACGCACTTTCTGAGCAGCACTTCAAAAGGTATGAAGAAGTGGAAAATTGGGTCTCTGAATCATCTGACTCAAAACAAGAAGAGTTCTATTGAGATGATATCCATAAATTACCTGAAAGATGGGGAAATATATAGCTAGCAATGATCATTACTTTAATAAAGCACTTTTGATGTTTCTCTTGAAATTATCGTGTTTTCTTTGATTACAAAAGACTAATTATTAACCGGTACACATGGTAATAAAAGCATAATATGCTAATTAGACCAGACATCCTTCCAGATACCCTTCCAGATGAAGCCAGGGCTGCGAGGAAAGCCAGGTCCCAGGAGCCAGAGCGAAGCTAGTGCCAGCAGCTGGGGGAAGGAAGGCCTATTCTTACATGAATTTTGTTCATTGGGCTCCTAGTATTATAATAAATTACTCAAGGAGCCTTATTAAAGATATTGTGATCCTTCATGGTATTAAAGATACAGCCCAGATGACCAAATATTTCCTCCAGTCTTAAGAGTCCTAAGTGTTTAAAGTTCATTCACCCTTTAACACTATGAATTCTCCTGAGATGTTCAGAAATAATGCTTAAATTTTTGCTCTTGGTTGAAGTACCTACAAGTGAGAAAGTGGGAGAGAAATGGAAAGACATATGCAGTTAGAAAAGAAGAAAAGCAAATGAAGTTTTAGGAGTCCATATTTGAAATTAGAAAACATTTTTAATTTTTTTTTAGAGTCACATTAATTTCTATGTTAATCTAGGAATTCATCTTGGTAGTGTTATATGAATTAATTATTTAAGGTATTTGTTAATCTTTTAAGAAGAAAATACATTGGAAATAAACTGCATATTACAAATTGCTAATAATTTTTGAGGTGTGAAATAAGAAGCTTTGAAAAAAAGATCCAAATAAATTTCAGTACTTTTTATACTTTGTGACTGGACCACCAGTTGGTCTTTTATGAGTTCTTTAGCATTTCAAGGCAGCATGGTATATAGTATAAACAACTTTAGCTTTTGAGTCAGACAGACCTGGGTTCAAATTTTAGTTTTGCCACTTACTAACTACATGACTATCAAGCAACGCAATGCCTCTGACCCTCAGTTTCCTCATCTGTAAAATGATAATAATAATACCTTTATTACAAGATTAAAATTAGAAAATTATATATGTAATATATCAGTGCCTGCTACATAGAAGGAGGAGGTCAATAAATATTAACTATAACCATCTTTTAGTCAGGTAAGTGATTTGTATGTTAATGATGAAAATGATGTCTGGGGTTTAAAGGAGCTCATTCTCAGATCTTAGAATTTGTGAAACTATAAAAATTATAATCTGAGATGACTGTGATGTACTTTTACTTTTTAGAAAGAGGTTAGTGTTTGGAGGGCAGTAAATCACCTTCTTCTACTCTGTTGTCTTACATTTTATTAATCTTTGGGCTATATCTTTACCTCTCTTCCATTCTGTTATGTCTAATACCAAGGATCCCATAAGCAAACAGTTCACTCAAAGGGGATTAAAATACATGTAGAAATCTTGTATCATTTTCAGGAAGTATTTGGATAGTCAAGGAAGGTATATTTATAATACTCCATAATTTTTTTCTCCTTCCCTCTCAAGCTGAGCCATTACCTGGATATTGTGGAAGTAAACATTGCTCACCAGATCTCTCTACGTTCAGAAGCATTTTTTCATGCAATGACCTCTCAACACGAATTGCAGGACTACCTCAAGAAAACTTCCCAGGCTGTAAAAATGCTTCGAGATAAAATTGCACAGATTGATAAAGTAATGTGTGAAGGATCACTACACATTTTAAGACTGGCTCTTAGCAGAAATAATTGTGTTAAAGTGTACAATAAACTGAAGTTAATGGCCACTGTACACCAGACTCAACCTACAGTACAGGTGTTGTTATCTGCTTCTGAATTTGTTGGAGCATTGGACTTAATATCAACAACGCAAGAAGTTCTACAGCAGGAACTTCAGGGCATTCACAGCTTCCGGTATGTCAGTTAAGTAAACCATTAGAAATAATGTTAGAAAATTTTAAAGTATAAATTTTAGTGTGTAAGGTTAGTTGAAGAAATATATGTTTAAAGTTACATGGTTATTTTTTCTTCCAGATTGATCTGTTTAGTAATGTTATCATTTTGATATTTTATTCTTAGCTTAAACAAACAAAACCCTTAAGAATCAATATTTATAGGGACATTTAGATGAAGAAGTGAAATTACGTTTTCTAGTAGATGAAATAAATGAAAGGCCAATTACAACTTTGAAAATAACATTTTGGAAATACTGAAATAATTTTTTATCAAGATAGTATCAAAGTAGCAGAAAAAATACCAATATATCTAAAATTAAGTTCCTTTTTAAAGCTTTTGACTAGATTTTTAATTTAATAATTATTAAATTTTATTTCTGATTTTCATTTTTTTCACATTACAAAAAATTCCACATGGTATTGGGAAAGACCCAGTTTTTTCTGTTTTTATTTTGAAAATATCTTTAAGTTTAGCATTTTAGTTATTTTATGTGAGAACATGGGAAATGTGTAATTTATAGATAGACCCATTGCAAGCCACAAAATTTAATTCAGTTAAGCAGGCTTGCAGTGTCCTTGTGGAAGTTTCTATTTGTTGGGAAACCCATCCAAACCTTACACTTCTTCATAACTACAAAGAAGTTTTATGGAAGATACTAGAGGCCTGGTTCATGAAAATTCATGCACTGAAGGCAGGGGTCCCTCCGCCTGGCCTGACCCCTCTAACAGTCCAAGAGCCCTCAGGGGCGGGAGGTGACCCAGTGATCAGAGGAACGTGATGCCTCATCACACCTCTGCCGTTGCCACTTCGGCAGCGCAAACCTTGTCGGCCCTAGATACCTGAGCCTCACGTGGCCCTGGGCGGCTGGACAGATGCTATCCGAGGCTTGCGTGCATCTTGGGCCAGCTCTGGGAGGCTGGGCAGCTATCATCCGAGGCTTTCCTGAGCCTCGGGATGACCCTGGGTTGCTGGGGAGATGAGGGGATTGGAGGATTCCAGAGACAGGCATGGAATCCCCGTGTGGCTGAGGGGACTGTGTGCTGCCATCTTGTGGCTGTTGGTGCTGCCATCTTTGAGAGCATGGCAGTCAATTAGCATATTCCCTCCTTATTGGCTGTGAGCACCGCCATCTTTGAGGGTGGAACAGTCAATTAGCATATTCCCTCCTTATTGGTTGTGGGCTTCACCATCTTAGAGATGGCATGAGAGTCAATTAGCATATTCCCTCTTTATTAGATAGGATGTGCTCTATAACTTAAAAGATACTTAATATATTCTGGAAAACGTAGCTTCAAAATAAGTTTATTATTGAATTATAAATTATTTCACCACCATATTTCTTTTCTTTATTAATTAAGATATTACATATGTGTCCTTATCCTCCCATTGCATGCCCCCCACACACACTCGCGTCCATTGGTTATGCTTATATGCATGCATACAAGTACTTTGGTTGATCTCTCCCTTTTCACCCCAGCCTCCCCACTTCTCTCTGAGGTTTGATGGTCTGATTGATGCTCCTCTGTCTCTGGACCTGTTTTTGTTCATCAGTTTATGTTGTTTATTATATTCCACAAATAAGTGAGATCATGTGATATTTATCTTTCTCTCATTGACATTTCATTTAGCGTAATGCTCTACAGATCCATCCATGCTGTTGCAAATGGTAGGAATACAGTAGCGTAGTATTCCATTGTGTAAGTCTACCACAGTTTTATAATCCACTCATTTGTTGATGGGCACTTAGGCTGTTTCCAAATCTTAGCAATTGTAAATTGTGCTGATATGAACATAGGGGTGCATATATCCTTTTATTGGTGTTTCTGGTTTCTTGGTATATATTCCTGGAAGTGGGACCACTGGGTCAAATGGGAGTTCCATTTTTAGGTTTTTGAGGAAACTCCATACTGTTCTCCACAGTGGCTACACCAGTCTGCATTCCCATCAGCAGTGCATAAGGGTTTCTTTTTCTCCGCATCCTCACTAGCACTTATCATTTGTTGATAGTCATTTTGACAGGTGTGAGATGGTACCTCATTGTCATTTTGATTTGCATCTCTCAGATGATTAGTGACTCTGAGTATGTTTTCATATATCTTTTGGCCTTCTGTATGTCCTCTTTCAAAAAGTATTTATTTAGGTATGTTGCCTATTTTTTGGATTAGATTGTTTACCATCCTTTTGTTAAGTTGTATGAGTTCCCTATAAATGTTGCCAGTTAAATTCTAATCAGAGATAACATTAGAAAAATACATTCTCCCATGCAGTAGGCTTTCTTATTGTTTTATTGATGGTTTCTTTTGCTGTGCAGAAGCTTTTTTTTTTTTTTTTTTTTACATTTTTAAAATTAAATTATTATCTGTGTACATATTTTAACATTACTCCCCCCTCTCCCAAACATGCCCTCCCTTCCCAGAGTTTTGTGTCCAGCAGAAGCTTTTTATTTTGATGTAGTCCCATTTGTTTATTTTCTCCTTAGTTTCCATTGCCCTAGGAGCTTTATCAGTGAAAAAATTTCTTTGGCATATGTCTGAGATTTTGCTGCCTGTGGATTCCTCTAATATTTTTATGGTATCTCATCTTACATTTAAGTCCTTTATCCATTTTTAGTTTTTGTGAATGATATAAGTTGGTGATCTAGTTTCTTTTTTTTTTTTTTTGCATTTATCTGTCCAATGTTCCCAACACTATTTATTGAAGAACCTGTCTTGAATCCATTTTATATATATATATATATATATATATATATATATATATATGCTCTTGCCTCCTTTGTCAAATATTGAGCATAGTGGTTTGAGTTGATTTCTGGGTTCTCTTTCCTATTCTATTGGTCTATGTGTTTGTTCTTGTGCAAACACATAGGCAGTTTTGAGAACAGTGGCTTTGTAATGGAGCTTGATAGCAGGTATTGAGATCCCTCCTATTTTTTTCTTCTTCCTTAGGATTGCTGTGGCTATTTGGAGTCAAGACAGTTTCTTCAATAAATAGTGTTAGGAAAGGATGTAAAAGACTTGGACTCTCAAAACTACAGGGCAATGAAAAAAGAGATAGAGTAAGATATAAACAGGTGGGAAAACATACTGTGGCTTTGTAATATAGCTTGATATCTGGTATTGAGATCCCTCCTACTTTGTTCTTCTTTCTCAGGATTGCTGTAGTTATTTGGAGGTCTTTTTTTATTCCAGATGAATTTTTGATGAGTTTGTTCTAGGTCTGTGGAATATGCTGTTGGTATTTTAACGGGGAGTGCAAAGCAATCTATTGCTTTGGGTAATAGGGACATTTTAATGATGCTGATTCTACCAATCCATGAACATGGTATGTTCTTCTGTTTATCTCTTTTTTCAATGTCCTGTAGTTTTGAGAGTATAAGTCTTTTATGTCCTTAGTTAAGTTTATTCCTAGGAATCTTAATTTTTTTGGTGCAATGGTAAATGGGATTTTTAAAAAAATATTTCTTTCTGTAACTTCACTAATGGTGTATAAAAATGCCATAGATTTCTGGGAATTAATTTTGTATGCTGCTACATTGCCAAATTCATTTATTAAGTCTAATAATTTTTTGAGGGAGTCTTTAGGGTTTTCTATGTACAGTATCATATCATCTATGAATAATGACAGTTTTACTTCTTCTTTTCCAATTTGGATACCTTTTATTTTTTCTTCTTGTCTAACCATTATGGTTAGCACTGTGTCGAACAGGAGTGATGAAAGTGGGCATCCCTGTCTTGTTCCTGTTCTTAGGTAAATGATTTTAGATTTTTCCCATTGAGTATGATGTTGGCTGTAGGTTTGTCATATAAGGCTTTTATTATGTTGAGGTATGTTCCCTCTATTCCCACTTTGCTGAGGGTTGTTTTTTTTTTTTTATCAAGAAAGGGTATTGGATTTTTGCCAAATGCTTTTCCTGCATCAATTGACTTGACTATATGAATTTTATCTTTCAATTTATATGATGTATCATGTTTATTGATTTGTGGATATTGTACCATCCTTGCATCCCTGGGATAAATCCTACTTGGTCATGGTGTATGATCTTTCTGATGTAATGTTGGATCTGATTTGCTAGAATTTTGTTGAGGATTTTGGCATCTATGTTCATGAAGAATATTGGCCTATAATCCTTTTTCTTTGTGTTGTCTTTATCTGGTTTTGGGATTAGGATAATGCTAGCTTCATAGAATGAGAGTAGAAGTGTTCCTTTTGAATTTTTTGCAGTAGTCTGAAGAAGATTGGTTTTATTAATAGTTGTTCTTTGAATGTTTGGTAAAACTCCTCTGTGAAGCCGTAAACCCCAATATATCTGACCACCAGAGAAAAGATAATTAGGGGAGAGAAAAGAGAGCACAAATGATATTAAGGAAGAAAAAAAAAATGGTAAGAAAGAAAAGAAAAAGAAGAAAAAGGGGAAAAAATATTTGTGTGTATACACACACACACACACACACACACACACACACACACACTCACACACAGAACAAACAGATAATCCAATAAATGCAAACAACAAACACCCAGAAAAGAGGATAGGGACACAATCCGTAGAAGCTGAGTTTATATATAGAAAGTAAGGTTAAGGAATTGGATGAATATGGAGAGGAACTTGGTTCAGGATAGAGGAGATAGAGTATAAGAATAAAAAGAAAGAGAAAAAAATAAATTAAAAAATAGGATAAAATAATAAAAAGTAAAGATAGAATGATGAAAAATAATGCAAAAAGAAACAGATAAAAACAAAATTAAAAAAATGAAAAAGAGAAAATAATAATAAAATTTAAAAAGTGAAGTGTTCTTTTGGCCTAGTTTTAATGCCCCCCCGTGGGCATTAAGATTCCACTCTTCTATACTATCTGCCCCTTCTCAGTTTCCTGTTAGGTAGTCAGCATGGTGTTGAAGTTTTAAGCGGACCACCACTCCTCTGTTTGTGTCTGTCTCCATCACCTTACCTGCCAGCA